GTAACCATGGCTACCCATCTCCACCAACGGTTTTCTAACCGTCCGACAGGACAGCATCGCTAACGCGGAGCCCGGGCTCAGCTCGTTTACTCTAAATTAACTTTACATTTGATATTTCTCCCCATCAAACCTCCAGTTCGTCAAAACATGACCGCAGGTTTCCCGCCGTTTGCAGGCTGTCTCGCGACATTTTTCGCGTTTTAAAACCGTTTAGGTTTCGCGCGTGAATCTGGTGTCAGCTAGCAAACGCTTGTGTACAGAGTCCCATTCAGGAGGCTGAGAGGGTAAGAGATGAAGGGCTACGGCAAAGGTTAAAATATCCGTAAAAGACATGCGGGGCGTTTAATTTTTTAATGTTTTCTTTTAGCTTTCCTGGAGCTTCCGTAGGACACAAAGACTGCGTTTAAAATGTTCGACACTGGCGTGTTTTCCCAGTTTCCCATCAACGTGTCGCGGAAATCACTTCCATTGTTAATCATCTAAACTCTCTGAAGCCTGTCTATGATTCGTACTATAATTAGGACAGTGTAAAGTCTAATTTAGACCAAAACGATCAGAAACGCAGGCAGAACCACTGAGAAGAACGGATGCCAATGAAGCGAATGCAAAGACTGGGTAAGTGTTTAGAAACAGAGTTAAAGCTGATATTCTGTTTCTAGATTTATCTGTTTTCCCCAGCCGAAATAAAGGTTAGATATCAGTGTTTCAGGTTAGGTAAACATCTGTGTCCAGCTGTGTGCTCCTGTGTTTTTGTGCCAGGGATTAAATAAACAGGTGGATCTCAAACAGAGTTTGGAGCGCGTCTGTTCTTGGGTCCCTGTGAAGTTGTGCTGGGAGGAGTGACCGTCACCGTGGGTTGCCGTGGTAACCTCGCTGGGCAGAATAACTGCCCCCCTGGGGTGTGTTCGGTGCCGATCACTGCCTGTCCAGACCTAGACATCTGCTGGTGTTTCAGGGTTTCCTGCGGCAGCTTCGGCAGATCGCAGGCAGGATGTCGTCCGGACCACGAGGTGCAGGAATCAGCCAAACGGCTGACTGGAGCCGGGGGAGGCCACATACACATGTGACCTGATGCATGTCTGGACAGATCTATTTAAACTCAGTCTGAGCCCTGCTGCCCTGCTGCCCTCAGCCT